CCCGCGCCCCCCGGCCCCAGGGCCGCGCTCCATGGCTCCCGGCCGCCCGCCCGTGCGTCTGTCGGTCCCCCCGCGCCCCTGCCGGCTCTCCTGCGCCGCCGCCGCCGCTCCCCCGCGGGCGGAAGTGAGCTTTACTCCCGCCACCGCCCCGGAAGTGACGCTCAGGTGCGCACGGGGGCCGAGCGGGCGGAGGTCGGGGCCGGGATGGGGGCGGGGCTAGTCCGGTGGGCGTGACCGATCGTGGAGTGGGTGGGGCCCTGGCTTCAGGTTCCAGCCCAGGTTGTCGGGAGTGGAGATTCAGAACCGTTCCTTCACTCCTTGCAGGGCCAGCACCAGGGTGAGGCACGTGAGGCAGTATCCTGGGAAGCAAGATTTACAGGATCCCATAAAACTCAGTTATCAAGATTAAAAAAATTTTAATGCACTACTTAAAAAAAAACACCAAAATTTTACTGAAACCAGCCCCCTGACTGGGGTAAGGGAAGTGATCCTGCCTTTATTTAAAATCTGGCTATTTCGTTCATCACGGATTCTTTTGCACTGGTTTTGGCTTTTTACTAATGCATTAAAATATTATGGGTCTTACTGGCTGAATTTTTTGGTATTCCTTAAATGTCCTAAGGCGAGTGCCCCGCCCTGCTCACCCTAGTCACACTGGCTCAGTTCACACCGCCGGGAGGGAGGCAGCTCTTACAGAGCTGAGAGCAGAGGAGATGGATTAGGATGAGGCTTGGGAGCACAGTGGGGAGGGTGGCCGAAGGTGACCCGGGAACCTCTTTGAGGCTGGGCACAGAGGCCAGTGACAGGGACAGAGGCAGGAAGGCTGCAGAGGGGCCTAGCCTGAGGCAGGCTGGTGAGTTAGCAGGACAGCCTCACCCTTCCACTGCCTGCACGCCTATTCCAGCTCAAAAGCCGCCCCACCCCTAGTAGGAAGCCCCAGCCCCCTCTCCTCCCCAGGGAGTCTAATCTTCGGCCTCATTTGCACAGATAAGCCAAAGGGCCCCATTGCTAGGGACAGCTGCCAGGAGAGAACACAGGCTCAGGGGTGGACACTGCCCAGGGCTGGTTTCCAGCCAGTTCCTCCAGCCCCCGGTGCAGGGCTCCGCTGCCACCTCCCATAGCTGTGTGCCCAGGGGCTGTCGAGGGGTGCCCAGAGTCCCCCTGCCTCTGCTGCCCCTGTCAAGGCTCCCAGTGTCAGCTGTTCTCCCGAGGTCCAAAGGTCACAACTAGGCTAGGCTCCTTCCAATTTCCTTGAACCAGAGCAGGAAGAGGACTGCCTGCAACCTCCCTAACCCCTTCCCTCTCTTCCTCTAGGCTGGAAAAGGCCTGAGCTGTGGCTGCATCGCTTGGGAGAGCCAGCTCCACCAGGACCAACATCCCCAAGGAGAACACTGCAGAGGGGCGGCGGGCCCAGGAGGTGAGGACAGGCTCAGTCCCCGCTCAGATGTGGCCTGTTCCATCCTCACCAAGTTCCACCACTGACCAGAGTGTGCTCTAGAAGGATGAATGCCCCAATGTCTCAGAAGACCCCTCTCTCCTCCCCCCTCCAAAGCTCCTGCTAGGTATAGCCCTGAAGCTGCCGGCCCATTTTCCCTACTTCTCCTCCCATCGCCTTCACTTGCCCCTGCCCTCTCTGTCCTAGTTAAGCTTGCCTTGCCAAGTTTGTTGCTACCTCATGGCCTTTGCATGAGCTGTGCCTCCTGCCTGGAGTACCTTGCACCCACATAGATACATGGCCAACTCCTCCTCATCTTCAGGACCCCACTCAAATATCACCTCCTCACAAAGCCCTCCCTGAGCACTCCCAGCCAAAGTCCCTACCACACCCTATTTATTTCCAACATAGAACTTGCCATCTGGTCATTTTATTGAATTGTTTCCTTGGTTATCATCTGTCTTCCCTGTATTTCATGAACTCCAGTCTCCTTGGGGCAGAGACCCAGGCTCTTGTCCACTATGTCCCCAGCTGTCCTCCATGCTGTCTAATGAACAATGGGTTCACAACACACACAGGAGGAAGAGGATTCTTAACCCAGAAGAAGGCTTTCAGGAGGATGGACGGAGGCTCCATGAGCATTTGGGTGCCACCAGCACATACCTCAGGCCGGTGGGACATTGTGCTTTTCCTTCTCTCCTGACCTGAGACACCCAACCCATCAGGAAAATAACTTGACCACAGGAACCAATGGTCTTAAAAGTATTCCCACCGGGAGCCACATCGTCCAATATGGAAGCCATCAACACCCCCACCCCTGCCCCGTAGGGCTATTTAAATTTGAATGAGTTGACTAAATAAGATTTAAATTTCACTTCTCCAGTTGCAATGGGCTCATTTCAAGTGCCCACAAGCCAAGTGGGGCTGGCTGCTGCTATCTGGGATGGCACCGATGGAGAATAAATCCATCAGGGAAAGTTCTAGAAGCAACAGGCTAGTCTGTGAGCGCCAAGAGGAAAGGCATGGGTATCTGTGTCCTTTCTGTTCCCAGCTGTGTCCTGACGCCCAGCTTGGGGCTTAGCATTCAGTAGGCACTCAATAAATGTTTGAAGAAGAGACGTAGGAAGAGAGGAAAGAAGGAATTCTTCTAAAAATCTAAGTTAATAGTATGGTGAAAGCTTCACGTTCTGTCCATAGATGTCCATCCCTGCCTTATTTCCAAAAGTGAAAAGAGAAAAATAGCCTCAGAGTGGCGAGAGGAGACTGGATTAAAAGATCATGGTTGACTGTTGTTGCTGTTGTTGTTAATAATTAAAGTATAATTGCTTTACAATGTTGTGTTAGTTTCTGGTGTACAGCAGCGTAATCTGGTTATACATGTATACATTCTTTTTCATGTTCTTTTCCATTATAGGTTGTTACAAGATGTTGAATATAGTGTATAGTGCTACTCACTAGGACTTTGTTGTTTATCTGCTTTATATACAGCAGTTTGTATCTGTTAAACCCAAACTCTTAATTTATCCCTCCCACCCCACTTTCCCTCTAGTAACCGTAAGTTTGTTTTCTATGTCTGTGACTCTGTTTTGTAAATAAGTTTATTTGTTTCATATTTTAGATTCCACAGATAAGTGATGTCATATGATATCTGTCTTTCTCTGTTTGACTTACTTCATTTAGCATGACAATTTCTAGGTCCACGGTTGACTTTTTTTCCCCATGGTTAACTCTTGATGAAAAAAAAATGCAGCTGAGGTATGGAGACCGATACAACAAGGCTATTGGTCTTTTTTTTTTAAATAGTTTTACTTTAATGTTTTTATGGGAAATGTATAACATGGTTCAAAATTCAAAGGGTCTAAAAGGCTGTGCATAAAACATCTCTTCCCCTACCCTGTTTGCCAGGAAACAGGCGGCCCCATCTCAAGGTAGCCAGTATTGCCAGTCGCTCCAGATTTGATGCCAGGAAACCCAGGCACCTGTGTTCACCTGTGAGCAGGTGTAAAGAGACCTTCTCCACTTTTTATTTTTATGTTTTAAACACACATCATGGGAGGGAAGGTATAACTCAAGTGGTAGAGCACATGCTTAGCATGCATGAGGTCCTGGGTTCAATCCCCAGTACCTCATCTAAAAATAAGTAAATAAATAGACTTAATGACCTCCCTCCACAAAAAATAAATAATTTTTTTTTAATTAAAAAAAACACACATCATGATTCTTCTGTACAGCACAGGGAACTATATTCCATACCTTGTAATAACCTTTAATAAAGAAGAATATGAAACTAAATATATGTATGTATACGCATGGCTGGGACATGGTGATGTATACTAGAAATTGACACATTGTAATGGACTATACTTCAATTAAAAAGAAACACTCTAAAAAAAACCGCACAGACATTATAGCTTTCAAAAACACTGTACTGATTGTCATGTCTTCCACCTTGGCCCATCTTGGGGTCCTCTCACACAGCCCCCCAGGGGGTCTCAGTCCCCTCTCGATGACACACACGTAGCAGACTGTTCCCGCTGTAGGGGGATGACAAGAGCATGTGGGGGCATTTCCCACCCGTGGGCAGGACTTGTGGGGAAGACTTTAGAAAGTACAGGATTATTTGTCTTTTGGGGGGGTAATTAGGTTTATTTATTTATTTTATTAAACGGAGGTACTGAGGATTGAATCCAGGACCTCGTGAATGCTAAGCACACACTCTACC